ATATGATTATATTACAGCTAAATTATACTGTGGTTAAACTTCCAAGTTGCTTTCTGGTGTCAATATGGTAGTGTGCACATTCAGTGTGTATGCCTGCATTATGGTATATATGTGCTGCCGAAGCGAGCACTGTATGCCAGCATTATGAACTAGAAGTGAACTGGAAGATGCAAGTCTTCTTCACACAACATTTTTAATGTAGACTTCTAATATGATCCAGTTTCAAATAAAACTGAAGGGAGTTTGATCAGTACTAGTTGGAGGAAGTCAAAGTTGAGAAGGACCTCTGTTACAGCAGTAGAGGCAGTAGAGTTACAGCAGTTACCTGATACTTTGGATCATTAGACTTTTGTGCATGTGGGAATGCTAAGACAATGTACCTTGTTAATCTCAGATTGTACATTACATCCAAAGCTTAATCTCATAATTTTCCAGTTTTGCAGAATGGTGATGTACTTCAGCTGCTCAGCCATTACCAGTAACATCCCCATGTGTGGAAGAGGTAAAGGGTCTAGCCTTGGGACTTTTACTTGCCTGCCTAAAAAATGCCTCTTGCTGCTATTCTGTTATCTTTTTAAATGAATTTTTATGCAAAGTTGGTGGATTGTTTTCTGTTGTAAATCTGCTGCCTCGTCCAATGTATGCATATCCTAGCTGGATAGGTTAATGTCTGCAGGAATCCATATATTAGACATAATGATAGTAGCAGTGTTCCAATGACACACAGTCCAAATCTTAAACCACCATGTAACTTGACCTTGTTATGTGCCTATTCATAACTTGAAATGGGAATGTCTTTCTCAAACCTAACTCCTCCCATTCATCCCCTCCTCATTTGTATAGCAAAGAAACCACCAAACGAATAAATACATTTCTCTTGGAGAAAAGCAGAAAAACTCTTTATTGCAATGCACTATATTCTTGCAGTATGAGATTTTGTAGTAGTAGTAGTAGTAGTAGTAGTAGTAGTGAAGCTTTTGAGTTTTGATTGGCTATGTTGCCCTGATGTCATAAAGGGGCAATGCAGGCAGGCAGGACGGCTTAATGTTGTAGAGGGCAGAAGAAACAGCCTCAGGAAACAAGGAGCAGGATCTTGTTAAAAGATCTCCTTTCCCCAGAAATGTTTAGTTGTGGACCTCTCATCTTATTACAGAATTTTCTTCTGTGTGGCTTGTACTGTAAATGATGCCATCCTGTCAGTGTGTAGCACTATCAAGTAAATTGTGTGTCAGCTTCCAAACACCTCGTGGTGTGCTCACTTTCCTTTTTTATATATAAACACATGCAGCTCCTGAGAATGTTAGACTGTAATGCTCTGTGTTTTTGCCTTGTGCCTTAGATTAAGAGAGTAGATTGTCTTGTGCACAGGGCCATTTACTGCAAACTGTTCTGGCTGGACAATTCCTGACTGTGCAAAGAGGAGGGAGCTATGGATGAAAGAACTGGGTTGACCCTGTGGGAAAAGGAGAAAAACCTCAGCAGAAGCTCTCTTGCATCTGTTATGAACGTCATAGAGTTACCTTGTGCAACATGGGGATTTTTTCTGAGTTGCTTCTTTCTATACTGTTGGTGTTTTGAAGTTGGGTTGTAGGAACATAGAAGGACTTGCTCATGGTGCTGAGAAGCAGGTGGTGCTTAAATTCTGCTCCTGGCACTGCAAATTTGAGAATTTAAGGGTTTCTCATTACATTTAATAATAGCTATCCTGTTTTTGTTGTCTACCCAGAATAGACCCAGGGATAGATTCCTGGTTTCTCAGCTGGACTAAATGATGGATGTTTCTCCCTGTTGTGAGGGTACACTCCTGTCTGAACTGTTCCTCAGGATGGACAGGGTTCTGCTTTGTTGAATCTTTCACCAACAATGGACTTTCTTTACTCATAAGTGAGAGAAGGGAAGAGCCATCATCTCCTGATAGTTCAGCATTTTAGAGGAACTCAGTATAGCACACAGGATAAAACTAGTTTTTCCTACTTCTTGTTATTTAGTCGTTTAGTTGTGTCCGACTCTTTGTGACCCCATGGACCAGAGCACGCCAGGCACTCCTGTCTTCCACTGCCTCCCACAGTTTGGTCAAACTCATGCTGGTAGCTTCGAGAACACTGTCCAACCATCTCGGCCTCTGTCGTCCCCTTCTCCTTGTGCCCTCCATCTTTCCCAGTATCAGGGTCTTTTCCAGGGAGTCTTCTCTTCTATTATCGCCTAATAACTGATCCTTTTGACTCAAGTTGTAAGGAACTGAGCCTGGGACCTTTTTGCCTTCATAAGCTGCTTTACTAGAATTGGACTATTGATCTGTCTAGGTCAGTATGGTCTACCCTGATGGAAATCCTTCCAACTGCAGGTGCTGGGGATTGAACCTGGGACTTTCTGCATACAAAGCATATGTTCTGCTGCAGAGCTAGGGCCATTCTCAAAAAGGGTTGGTCTTCATCATTTTCAGACTATGATTATGCTGGCTGGCTAGAGGCATGGCTGGCGGGGGGGGGCAGGGGACACTGAGCACTACACCAGGGGGATGGCACTTACCGCGCCTGAGCTACGCATCTCTTCTGGGAGTGATGCAGTGTCTCTGGTGCCTGCAGGCTCCGCATTGCCTGAAAGGGCAGCATGGGGCTTTTGTCTGCCAGCTGCCTCCCCCTCAGCCACCCTACAGCTGAGGGGGAGGCAGGAGGCGGACTCCCTGAAGGCTCCACGCTCCTCAAAAAAGCAACACAGGCCTGCAAGGCGCTGGAGCAGAATGCGGCTCAGGCGCTGGGATTCTGGTGTGCCCTGCCCCATCCCTCCCGCTAGCACCTCGCCCCACCTCACAGTGCCTCACCTTGCCCCTGCAGGCATCTCGTCCTGCCCCGCCCCCGTGTGTGGTGCCCGTGCCCTGGGCGCCCATGCAGCCAGCTATGCCACTGTGGCTAGCTGGTTGGTTGTTTCATTCTAGCAATCTTCTGTGCTCCTATATATTCTATGGATAATAATTCCTTGAGTAGTGGTGTCTGCCCCTTTTACCATAACAGGTCAGGACTGGCCTAGATTAGTTTTTCATTTCTTACCTTTGTATTAAAGGATGTAAATCAAGTCAACAACAGTTATAACCATTTTTACAGAGAGAGAAATGCTCCATAGCGCTTGTGGGCTATTATGTGTTTAGGTCACCATGACCTTATAAAGTACATCAGGCTGGCACTGGTATCACTATGGCTCCTTAAATGAGAAATAAGACACAGATCTTCCATAAATCTACCTCCATAGTAGGGTAAAAGTTTTTGTAAGCTTATTTTTTTTGAGGCAGCAAGTAGTTTAGTGGGATGGCAGGAATGCAGAAGTCACAGGCAATTGCTGGATTTCCTCTGCAGTTACCTTCCTTTGTAGTCCTTATCTGGAGGGATGCTCTTGGAGAAGCAGAAAGACAACATAAGCCTAAGTGCTGGCCAGATCTTCCAGGTTTGTAAAATGACACCCTATGGATTATAAGCTTTCATCAGACAAAAAAGGGTGGGTGGGTGTGCATTTCCTAAACTCCCACAATAGTGTATGAGAGCAGATTGGAAGCTGGATAAATGCTGAATGGGTCTCTGTGTATCTTGGTGCCATATGTACTCTTTTTCCAGGACATGTCCTCTTTTCATGGGTATGTAAAATGAGAGCCGTCATAGCAATCCATAGTTGAAAGTAGAAGTCTGCAAATGTGTCCTTTTTTTGTTTTTTTTGCTCTCCAAAATATGGCAACCCTGCACACTTCTTCCTAGTCTAGCTCTACTGAAGCATAGACAATGGCATTTATAGGGACGTTTTTCTTTCTAGCACCCTATGTTCTTGCCCTGTGTATGAAAGTATGAAATCACTGCTTCTGGGACACACTTCAACATATCATATGTTCCTTATGGTTTGAATGCAAGATTACAGCTTTCTTTTTATGTCAGTTGATTTGCCTCCATGCAGTATTGAATTGCATCTCTTATTCACATTTTGTTTTTATTTGGTTTGTTTCCATTCTTTTTATAGAATCCGCAATTACAAAGTCTTCATATGTTGAGGGGTTTGCATTTTTTTGCAGTCAGATGATTGCATTCTTGTTTCTTCATAAATAAGTTTCACCTGGATGTTTCCAGTGGTTAGCATGGCTTTGCCCGGGTATATTGTTTCTTTAGGAAAAACTGAGATTTTCTATGAGGCAGTTTAGATGAAGGGAGAGATGGAGATCTGAGCAAGGCATTGAAAGAAGAGAGAAGGAGACAGCCTTCTTCACCAGGGTGGATAAAAATCATTGATTTAAAAATAAAAAAAAAATAAAGAATGGATATTTTTTTTATTTAGACCATTTTTTAAATTTAAATTGGATTTTTAAAATAAAATGCTTTTGGAGGAAAAAATCTTTCTAAATATACTTTTCTATTTAAGTTACATTATAGTCCAAAGGCCATCAGGAAATAAGGATTTGTTTTAAGTTTTTCATGTGTGCTGAAACTCAGTTGTTTACAAACATGGATACATATGCTATCGTGTTAAATAAATTGTTTAAATTGTTATTAAGGAAATGATTATTTTTCTCCTTCCAATAAAGTACAGCAGAAAAGTTGTCCAAATATAAACAGTTAACTTATTCAAACTCACAATAATTTCATAATTATCTGTCTATGCATTTCTAATAGTATAACCAAATCAGCAATTTTTTATATAACTGTAAAAACTACTCTGAAAATTTATTATTCCAAAATTGAAACCTTCATCTGGTTGTAAATATTAAGATTATACCAGCAGGAATGCCTTTCTGTAAAAAGAAAAAAATGATTTAAATCAAGTCTTACTGACCAGTGATTTAAATCGTGATTTAAATTAAATCAAATCCACCCTGCTCTTCACCAACCTGGGTATCTGTGGCCTTGCCCAATTTATTTTAAGATGATATGAAACGTGTAGATAAAGACACTCATTACAGTTGTTTAGCATAGTGGTTAGTGCCAAACCAGGAAGGCTCTGATGGAGACTTTATCCCAGTCATATTACCAGGTGGCTCTAGGGAAGTTGCATAGAGGCATTCAGAGTTCTCTTCCATTACCCATTTTTATTCTTACTGGGTTGCTTAGTCTGCGGGAGTAAGCCACTGATCTTTAGTCATGCACTTCAAGTGAATTTCATGACTGAATTAAACCCAGATCTCCACAGTCCTAGCTAGTCCATAACTTTGAGTTCTACAACACTCAAGTTCTATTATTCCTCTGTTGTAAGGATCACAAGATATGTATGCACTGCATCTTGGAAACTCTACTGTACTGTAGAAATAATAACTATTAAAGATGATGAGGTGTATGCTTAGAGGTGCTTTTTGTGTCACTTTGCATGCCTGAGAAGTTGTGAACTGATTCTAGGGACTGTCCTGCTTGTAGTCAAAGTTGTGTCTATGGTAAATGCTGTTCCTTTCTTATGTTGCTTCATTTGCTTGTGTGTGCTCTTGAAAGTTCTCTGGAATGCTGGCCAGGCCCCTTTAATTTTCATTATGAATGAAGAGTAAAATGTAAAGGTTATCTTCTGGCAGTGCAACTGTGCTTTTTTTTTTTTTGTAATTTGGAAGCTTTATTAGAAATGTCAGGAGTCCCATAACGTAACAAGGCAAATAACCACAGAGAGAACTTGTTGGGAAAGGCAACTTAGATTCTAGAAAGGTTTGTGTGTGATGTGGTTGTTTTTAATCAGTCAGCCCTTGAAAAGAATTGCCTGATATTTACTTCTTTTACCATCCTAAAGGGTAATGTTTCTGAGATAGAGTTTGTTAGCACCTACACCATAAGCCTAGTTAGTGCTGGTTAGGGAAGTGTATGAAGTAATCTACTCCAATACCGAATAGAGTAGTTCCCTTAACAGAGCTTAAAATTAGAATGCATGACGCACAGTGAAACAGTCTGGGATCACAGAATTGTAGAGTTGGAAGGGACCTCAAGGATCAATCAGTCCAACCTTTGTAATACAGGAATCTTTTGCCCAATGCGGAGCTTAAACCTATGACTCTGAGATTAAGAGGCCCATGCTTTACTGACCCAGTTGTCCATGGTCAAATGGTAAACTTAGTTTTGTTGGAGGCCATACACTGGTGGTAGATTGGGCCAAAACTAATTGTAGACGGATCAGAGCAAAAGTTAGGTAGAGCCAGAGTCCAGAATCAGCAGACTGCTGTTTTTACATAATTAGTTTCTTATTCTTAGTCTTCAGAGCAGTGTGTGATATTATTCTGTTCCATTACTCTTTAGCCACTAGGAAGTATCACCATGTCAAATCCCCACCAAGCAGAGGAAGAAGCTAGTGCATGTGAAGGGAAATCCTCAGTTCCAGATTCCAAGGGTTTGATTTTTACTAGTGTGATTCATCTGAGAACTGAAGCTGCTTTGCCCATTGATGGTGACTTGCCAAGTAACTCTTGGTAGAAGATGTGTCAATTTCCCATGGATGGAGAATGGATGGAGAATGAATTAGGATATGATTTCTATTACAGTCATACCTTGGGTTGAATGTGCTTCAGGATGAGCGCGTTCGAGTTGCGCTCCGCGGCAACCCGGAAGTAACAGAGCGCGTTACTTTCAGGTTTCACCGCTTGTGCATGTGCAGACGCTCAAAATGACATCACACGCATGCGCAGAAGCGCCAAAATGTGGCCCACGCATGTGCGGACACAGGTTACATTTGCTTCTAGATGTGAACGGGGCTCCGGAACGGATCCCGTTCGCATCTAGAGGTACCACTGTATGTTCTTTTCTGTCCATGTAAAATAGGAATTGAATTTTATGGGAAAGGTGGCAGTAAAATACAAATGCAAGCACATTAACATTTTACTTCATGCTTTTCTAAAGCCAAGCATTGGTGTTGAAATAAGCTTCCATGGCTTTTTAACAAGCCCTGAGTCAATGAGCTGCATAGGCATCTGAGTCAGATCTGAAGGGAGCTGTTTGCACCTCAAGCCCTTTTTCTCCATGCCTGGGAAGGTATAGGGATGACTGTGATTACTTGTTCCTCCTTTCAGACAGTCTAAGCTAGTTTCTTCTCTCCTTTTAAAAGCCTTGTTTGAATCAGGCATTGAAGAATCATCCTGTTTAGTCTTGCCTGCTGCATTTGAGGCTCAGCATCTTGAGGTCTGCTGTTCAGCTTTCAGTGCTTGTGTGCACTTAGCAATGTCCTACAAGACGTTTCTCACAAGGTGCCCTACCAACATTCTGATTGCTGTATTATCTAGATAGGCATGTCAAGCTTCTGTACATATTGCTATCCTTATACTGTATTTGCTGCTGTCTCCTTTATGATACAGTTCTCTTCCCTGAGTCTAAAACAGTCCTCTCTTACTCTCTAGCTTGGGATTCTGAACTCTGAATTCAAGGTTAAGAGTTAATACTTAACTCTTAACACTTCTCTGAGCAAAGGAGGAAGAATGTGCTTGAGATGCGTGCCCTTTTGAAATCCTTGTGGGGGTCCCATTTAAAATGGTAATTTTGGGGAAACCACAACATAGCTAACAGTTCTGAACAAACTACAGGCAACCCCCAATTTGCACGGGGCTTGCATTCTGAGTCATTGCATGCTTCAGCGGTGTGTGTGTAAGTAAACCTGCCCTGTTCCACCCCCTCTGTGCCCGCGGTTCCCTCTTCTTCCAGATTCAAAAACTGTTCACATGTGTTCTTTGAACGTGCACAAAACGGGAGTTGCCTTTACTTTTAGTGATAAAAAATTGGTTATCATAGACCTATTGTAATATGTCTATAGAGAAGTGGGCATTTGTGTAACAGACAATGCTAGATATAGTATGAGTACAGATATATAATGAATTGAAAAAAAATGTTTAAGATAACTTTTATTAAGAAACCAAATTTCTTTTGGAAATTATGGGACTAGAGTTACCCAAGCAATATAAAAAAGTATTTATATATGCAACCACTGCCACTCAAGTGATTTTTGTCTAAAGATGGAAAGAAGAAAACGTCCCGACCAAAGAAGAATGTCAACAGAAGCTTTTAGAATACTCAGAAATGGTGAAACTTACTGGAAGAATAAGAAACCAAGACGATAAACGTTTTAATGTAGATTGGAAACCATTTATTGAATATTTACAAAATTATTGTAAACAAATTAAAACATCAGCAGGATTAAAGTAAAAACGTGCAGTAACAGAAAACATATATTGATCATCTGGGATAAATAATACATAGGATTAACTTGGAAATGCAGTAAAGAGTAGTATAAATATAAGAAAACGCAGAAAGGAGCGGAGATGAGTCAATATATGATGTGTGGAACAATTTAAATCTATGTTTTGTGTTTGTTGTAAAATGAAAAGCATAAATATTTTTTTAAAGATATGGTATGAGTACAGCTTTATATTCAGGAGGAATTAGAAAACTACTTTTTCCGAAACATGAGTCTGCATATCCTATGACACTTTGTTAGATGTGTTGAGTTCCACAAGGATGTCTGTTCAAAGCATAAGAAACTGGCTCTCTTTGAACCATCTTTAGTCATCCTGGAAACTTGAATCCTGTCATCTAAGCTGTAACTACTAAGGTATTCTTGAAACTGGCAGTACTTTTTTTGCATAGCTTTAATTAGAATTTCAAAGAATATATGTTTAAATCGTAGTAGGAACTTTCCATGAATACATTTTTAAAACACCAAGCTTGATTGTGATTTTTGAGTGTATGTGTGGTGTTGATCTGGGGCAAGATGGAGGGTGTCATGGAAAAATTCCAGAAGTTGACACTTAAAGCTTGTAGACATTGCCCCTCCCTCTGGACTTAGCCATATTTTTCTTTTTCTTTTTTAAAGTTATAACTCCAGATTACATGTCATGATCTTTAAAAGGATGTGGAGTGTTCTAATAGCATGTGAACTTGCAGTATTTGATACTACTGAAACATCAGAGGGAATACAGTCCTTAGTTCCATGGCCCTACTAAGTTTTTACTGTGTTAGGAATACAGGCTTCTCCTACGTAATCTTCAGAATGCGTTTCAAAATAAAATAGAATACCTCTTCCCTTCCTGCATCCAGATTTACCCCTTAACTCTCAAACCTGTAGCATCTGGCAGCCAGAAAACTACAGTAGGACTTTCCTGGCACCCTGGTGCCAAGCATAGAAGAATTCCATATTGTGACAACGCATCAAAATAAATTGCTGTCAACAGACCAAAACACCAAGTGTTCTGATTCTATCTGACGTGTGAAGACTCAGACAGGCTGTCTTGACAAGCTGTGGTGGAGCACCTGCGATCGGCAGACGACAGTGATATAAATCTGATTTGCCTGATACGTGGCGCCGAGATATAATGTTAATGTTGGTGACAATATATCTGCATAAAATTTCCAAGGTGCAGACCAGATTCTTTCTCTCTTCCTCACCCACCTCCCCATTTTCTCTTTTTGACTTGTGGGGTTTGTCTGGTTTTGCGATTCAGTCTCCATGTTTTTGTTTGCATCAAAATAAAATGTGGGAAATAATATAAATAAAAAGATGAGGGAAACAAAACAAAATGGATCTACAAATTCTGAACGCTTGAGTCCTTTTTAAAAGTCCTGCTCAAGAAACAGCTCTTTCCCTTGTTCTACACACCCACCTTTTATTTTATACCAGACATAAAAGTAATCATAGCCACGGTTGTATTAATTTCATAAGCCACCACCAAAATATTGAGAAGAGGAGGTTTAAAATTTTTTGGTCACAATGATTTCTGCTGTTCATTCAGAGTCTTAAACTTCTAGGATTGGAGGACTGGGGGTGAGGACTGAATAGATTGTTAATTTTTACCTTTCATTACCAATACATGGTAATTTTTTTACAACAGCATCATATACCACAGCTCATTTACAAATGTGTTAAACATAGATTGACTCCTGTATTTAATTATTAGAACTATCGTGTATGTCTCAGCCCTTCCTTGAAATAATAAATGTGCTATATTTCATCAGGTTCTGGCAGGTGGAGGAAAACAACAGTGCTTGTAAATTTGATATTGGAGTCATCAGTTCCCTTTTAAAGTCTTAGCATTCAATCCTGAGCAGGAAGCTTTCAAACTGTAGTCAGCAAGTCTTTTTAGCTTCGGCCAAGCCCTACTATTGTATCTTGCTGCTGGTGGGCTTACAGCTTACTTCAAACACTTACCTGGTCAAATGCATTGACCAGAATATCGTGGGACTTACTTCTGAGTAATCAGGCTTAAGGTTTGAATGTTTTAAGAGTATGTTAGACCTGTAATGTGGTCAGTTTTTCTAGGAAGTGATTCTAGTGACTTAACAATTGCTATTTCAACACAGCTGCACAACACAGCACAGGGTAAACAATCTTGGGATTTTTTCGAGGGGAACTCACAGGAACTCAGTTCTGGCACCTCTCAGGTGGGTGTCATTGCCATTCTAAGAGAGTGAAGGAGATGTTCATGGTGAGTTGCAGCACCTCTTTTTCTAAAAAAATAGCCTATTTGGCCTATTCTTCCTACTTGAAATGTAGCCTTCTGTCTCCATAGTTGTTTTTCAGCAGCTACTCATCTTGTCCAGAGGATCCAGCTTCATTTTTTTTAAGGAGAAAGAGGCCTCCCTTCTTGTTTCGTGCTTAGATTTATGTATGGTTATAATGTCAATTTTTTAAAAAATCATATAAGATATGGAGAAATTGCTAAACCTTCCAAAAGTGTCAGTGTCCACTTCAAGAGCTTTGAGGAAAGAAAGGTTGTTTTTTTTTTATTAAAAAACCCATTCATACTCGTCTGTATTGTTGTTTTATCCCTTAAAGGCTCCTAATGAGAAATAGAGCCTCATTATGATTTTAAGGATGAGAGGGGAAGGCTTTTAATTAATGATATGTAAATGGTCTTGAATTGATTATGTTAGAATATCAAGAGAGATGGGTAGAAGCTGTGGTGTAATATATTTTAATTAAGAATTAATTAAAAATGATGGCAATTTCATAAAGCCTCACAGAAAATAGTGGAATTTACTTTCTGTCAGGAGTAAATTAGCCAGTGATTAAATAAGGGCCCTGCATTAATAGTAGAGTTATTTTTAAACTGTGTAGTGAAGAATTGTGTTAATTTTCCCTTTAAAAAAGTGAAATCAGAATTTTAATATTTGCAAATGGGTATTTGATAAGATGATTGCAGAATGCAAACAGTTCACTTGTGCTACTCTGGTGTAACTTAAAATCCTAGGTACGGGGAAAAGGGAAAAGCTTCACAACACAGGAACAGATGGTAATACCAATGTGGCTGATGTGAGGTGTGAGTAGCTGTAGGACAATCACTTTGCCAGTCTTTCCAGCCCTTTGACTTCCACTTTGAGCTTCCTCACAATTCATATACTAGATCTCTTTGAAGCTGAGTGTTGGTTTTGCTTTTTGGATGAGATCATCTATTAGCTGCTAAAGCCATTTAAAGAGGAATGTAACCCATGTTGCTGCTTTTCTCGTTCTTATTTCCTATTGATGAAATACTTGCTGCTGTAGTTACACTAACTAGTGCCTTAGCCACTTTGTTCCTGCTTTGTTCATAGATCACTATTTCTTCGTCACTTCTGAAGTAGTTTTACTCAGAGCTGTTCCTACATTTTCATCCCAGAATCCTTTCTTAGGCAAGAATAGGTAAGGACAGTCCCTCCCCACTCTGTGCTTAGCTGCGGAGTATTAATAACTTCCAGCTTCTACTCTAGAATGAAGCAGGTGTGACTAGTGTCAAACATTCAAACTAGGGTTTGAATTTTCCAGTGCTAGCTATACTGCAGCTTAGTTCACTTTGTGCTAAGCTGGTGTGACTTGAAATCCTGGACAGAGGGAAAAGGTTGGGAAGTGTCTCTGGCAATTTCACAGTTGAAGAAGAGTTGAACAGTTGTGGCAACTCTACAGCAAGCAGTACAGTTTAAGTTCTGAAACAGTGACAATGTGGTAGCGTGGTTATACATAGAAAAAAGATCAATAGCTGTTGTGCTGTTAAATAATTTTAAACTCTGTTACCAGGGGAGCGGGGCATGATTTCACTTGCTTAACAATTTGGCAAGGCAGCCCTACTGTGTTTATGGGTCCTCCTACTCAGTAGGATTTTTGCTCTTAAAATCCTGCTTTGTGGCACCACTTGCAGTTGAGATTTTCTTACCAGTGCTCTAACCCATATCATCTAAGTCCCACATCTAGGCTTAGGAGAAATCAAAATGGAGCCTGCTTCCAAAGTCTGAAAGACCTGTAAGATAAACATATATGCCAGACCAGAAGGAAATCTGGCTATGTGTCTCTTGCAGATATCTATGACCAGGAGATCCTGTAACCAGCACACATTGTGGCTTTCAAGCACTTTTTACATGCTAATCAGTAAATGGGTTTTACATACTTTAGGCTCCCTTCAGTAAAGAGCATTACCATAGCAACCACTCACTCTATCGCATGGGAGGTGCTCACATGTGCTGAAGATTACATTTTAAGCAGCATCCTTCTTTTAATGTCTGTGCTTGGAGATGCAACGTGTGATTATTTCTCATATCCATTTGCAGCTAGCAAGCATGGCTTTGTAGCACACTCCTGTCCCTCGGAATACATTTTCTTTAGCACATCTGCTGTGACTTGCTTTTAACTTAGGCTTTGATTTGTTACTAGAGTAATTGCCACATTCATGCCATAGGATCCAAAATGGTTCTGAGGAAATTATTTATTAGTTCAACTATATTGGTAGGGAATCTTCTGATCTTCACTGAACACATCTTTGAGTAGGTATAAGGAAGTGTGTGATTTGGGGGGGGCAGGAAGAAGACAGTGGAACTTCAAGTAATGTGTATAAAAAGTCTGACAGCATACTCAGTGTTAAAATTCCTCTATGTGAACATACACACAAGCACAGGATTACATGAAGAGTGGGTGTGAACCAATACATAGTGAGCCAGTGGCCATATCTACAATTGAAAATGCAGGAAAAAGTGCATGGAGAAATGTACCAACCCCAAACTATTTTTGTTGTTGTTGGCGGCATCCGTCTGAGGAGACCAGGGAAAAGTACCTTTGGGGGTGAGAGCACTTTTGTAGCTATGCCCACAAGAGTCTGGTTAGTGGCAACAGTGGTGCTATTCATATGCTGAAACTTTTATGCTCAGCTGTCCCAACAGAACTCTTCCATCTAGTGCAGCAGAGAGGCCAAGTACTGTTGCTAGAAAACGGATGCAGAGGAACCAGACCATGGCTTTTCGGAATTATTTATAATCCCGACCACATTTTGATCAACAACTTGAATAAAATATAGGGGAGCCCAGGTAAGCCCCACCCTGTATAATCGATCACAGGATGCCCACACACCATTTGAATGGCAGTTCAACCTGGGGGGGGGGCATCTTCTCATATATTTTATTGGGGGGGGGCAAAGGGACCTCGGCCCCTAGGAGTTGGCTTCTAAGGACATGGATTCACATGGCATCTGAAAACAAACTAAATAAAAGCATGATAAACATGAAATAATATAATATGAATAAATGGCAGAAATGAAAGAACTCTACAGCTTTTGGAAGGAAAGCCTATTGGCAGTTGGTGCCTTTAAGAGTTGCTGCTGCAGAGAAAGCAGCTTACCAGTTGTGACAGGACACTTTTCAGTGATTCGTGTGTGATTTTTGAAACCCTGTAGTTGGTCTTGAATAGCTTCTGGAACAGACCATTTAACTAATGGGCAAAGCGCTAGGAAGGATGTGCTCAACCTGTTAGTGGAATTCACAGTCTCTCTCATGCTCTCACCTGGTTCTTCTTTTCACGTGTTAGAAAGGAACATAGCAATAAAGGGTTTAATCTGAATCTGGAGTCTGTTTTGATATCCTTAGCTGTGATAGCCTTACCTTTTATTTTTATCCCTTACTGCTGCAAGCTGGCTGAAGAGAAGTACCTCTGAACATGTTCAGGCTGCTTTTTCTTCAACCACAGCAGGTCTACTTAAGAGCTGTAATTAGAATACCTGATAAAAAGAATTCAGTCCTTCTGGCTAACACATTAAGCACTTATCTTTGGCACAGTTGGGTGGAAGAAGGTAGAGCTGGAGAGGCAGAGGACTGCTGTTTGCCCTCCAGTTGAGGTTAAAATGGGAGCCTTCTAGCTCCCAGTTCTGCTGTCAGTGGGGCTGTTTGCTCTTTAGAATATTAGTAACCTGTGAAGGTTCTTCACGTCTCACTGCCCAGCCCTGGAAAAGAGTCTAGGAAATGTGCATGAGGCTGTAAGAAATGTAGTTTTCCATTGAGTAAAAGCCCATTGAAGCATCAGGGTGCATTCCCTTTTTAAGTACTCTTGTTTCCCCACATGATGGTATCTAATAGTTTCTTGAATGATCTTGATGTTTCTGCCTCACTTGGCTCACCTATGAAGCTGTTCTACATTTAGGACTCTTGTCTTCCCAACATAGTCAATAAATGCTTCCTACTTCCATGTTTATGTTCTCTCTCCTTGTGGGCCTTGCATGGGATTCATCTCTCTAAGCCCTCACTCCCTCATTGTGTGAAACACTTGAAGAGTTTTCCACAATCTGTTTAATGTTGTCAGCAATTGGGAACTGGTATGGAGGAAGAAAATTACTTAAATAGTTTATTCTGAGAGTTTGAAGGAACTCTACTCCCAGCAATGCTCCTATCCAGTGATATTTAGCCATAGCCACTGCAAAGGTGAGTAAAGAACTGAATACTGACAAGTACTTCCAAATAATAAGAATGTGAGAGCTAGCTTATAGTGACTTGTGCATATTATTTACTTGTGTCAGCTGCCCCATAGGCAGCTATTGAATGATAACCAGGGGTCAGAAATGGGGTGTCTTTTTGACTTATGGATCAGAGCTGGAGGCAGGGGGAATGAACAACATAGGTAGATTAGAATTAGAATAAAGCAAGAGTGAAAGGTAGAAATATCTTTACTGCCCAGGTAAGGCCCCAGCCTGAATAAGATACCTTTGCAGTCCTTCATGTTAAGAAAAGCCAGTGGTTGATTTGCACAGTCAGTAATTCTGTGGCCGTAAGGCCTGATTGCACACACCTTCATTTAGCTCACTAAGTTAGGTCCTAGTCTTGGGCCACAAAGTTTCTGATTTCAAAACCCAAAGTCTCGAATAATCAGAAGAATCCTTCCTCTCCTATTTATGGATACACAAACATGACAGGAGAGCAGCACAGCCTTTCCAGAATGGTTTATGTGGGCTAGCCAGAAGCTTGTGCCACGAGTGGCCAATAAAGATAGCAGAAACCTTAGCGGTTTATCATTTATGTGCTATCTGGCAATGTTCATTAATGCATTCTGTACTAGCAATCAAATTTTACAGGTATTGTTTTTAAATGCAAGTCTAGATATAAATTTGGTATAAACTAAGATATAAACTTAGGGAAGAAACAGCAGGAACTGGCCAGTTTATCCTGACATCTGTGCCCTGCCACCAAAACTGGCAGTACTGAGTCACATTTTGACCCAAACACATCTGCTTATGCTTTGGAGGAAGGATTTTGATAATTTAATATTTTTTCTTTGAATTCAGCAAAACGTCCTCCCCACTCAGCTTATGCAAGATGAAAATATTATTTCTATATAATATACCATTTCAATGAAACAATATTAAAACAGCAGTTAAAATAATATAAATATTATTTATTAGATTCTGTACTAGCCAATATTTTTAAGATTCCAGTTTATAGGATTGAAATGGCAACACACAGACATACATTTTCAAAAGGTCATGAAATAGCAATGGGCAGCAATTAAAATCAATAGAAGAAGGGGGGGGGGAGCTGGGATAATGTAAAAATGGTATTTGCCTTGTGTTGAAAAGATGGCGGGGTTAGCAACCGGACTCAGGAGAGCCTCCCTGCAGAGAGAGTTCCATAGAAAAAACTGGACCCTCCTCCCTGAACAACCATGTGATGCTGCCTCCCCTTTCCCTCCCATTTAGCTCTTTGCCAGTTAACCATGTCTTCATGAATCATGTTATTTCTGCCTCTCTCTTCCCTTTGTCCCATTGCCTTTCTAATAGCTGGAATTTAGCTCCTAGAGGCAGAGACATGCCTGTTGTTTCTTATGTTGCTTGCAAAGAGCCATGCAAAGCAATGGTATATAAACATGAGCGGACCTATGGGAGGCAGCTGCCCCCCCCCCCCAATCAAGTAAGTAAATAAATAAATAAAAATACTTAACTAACTGACCAGTTGCTCACATAGCTTAGTTCTGCCCCCCCCCCCCAATCCTGGCTATGCCCATGTAAGTAAATAACTGTAAATAAAAGGTTATTGACTTGTGCCAAGTTTGAAGGTAAAGGGTGATGGTTGCATTGTGTATTTCTAGCCAGCAGCCTGCTTGCTTTTCAGGCTAAAAGACTCTTAGCCCTTTTTGATGTGATAGAGGAAACCCAGCAACCTGGGTCTCCCTCTTTGTTCTAGGCTAAGCAGCAGCTTTGCTTTTTGCTGCACTTGATCAATGAGATAATGCCTGATATCAAAAACCACATGGAGCTGCATGGAGCTGTAGGGCAATCCCTTGAGAGATGTTTTGATTGGAGCTGGGAGTTTTGTATCAGAAGAGAAGGGAGACAGACAGGTTGTTTGAGGGAAAAGAAATCCCTCTAGACAAAACACTGATGTTGGAGCTGAGCTACAAATACTCCCTGTGCTAGAGGTGCAACTTTATTAGGTTTCTAGGTTAAACGCTGCCTTTCCTATACATGGTTTCCTTTGGTTCTGTCTTCCCCACAGCTCATTAGCATTAATAGTGCTGCGACTATGACTGCTATCAAACTAATTAGGCTCTTATTTATTTTTTTAATACTGGATTTTGCTTTCTCCTTTTCTCCTGTAGTTGGAAGCATGGTTTGGAGCTTATTTCCTAGCCACATGAAAGTTGCTGGCTCTTGGAAGGATGGGTGTCTGTGCATTATATGTCATTCTTATTTAACCATGGAGAAGGATTGATTTGCTTAATCTTGTGAGGCATGGTATGAACATAATTCTCACTTGGACATACTTGCTTTTTTTAAAAAAAAAACCCCTCATAATAATAATTATTGTACTCCTTTTGATTTTATTTAACAAAATTTATATACTACTTGATTGTAGTGAAACCTCTAACCAGTTTACAAGAAATATTAATTATTAATGAAAAATGTTAAAAAAGCAATTGAAAGCATTTAAAAAAATGACCAGCCATAAACCAAAAATAAAAATAAAACAAGTCAACATCTACATGTCTGGATAGGCTTCACTAAACAAGAATATTTTAAGCAAGTGCCGAAAAGAATACAGGCATCCCCCCAACTTACGCATGATTAACTCACACACAACCACTTACATGCAGTGCTGTGAAATAAATAAATAGAATCAAATCAGGAAATGGTGGGAGAAAGCAGGAGACTCCTCATGGCTTGCAAGGAAACCCTCCTTGAAGCCCAAAGAGAACTTCATTGAGGGTGGGGAAAGCCCCAAAGAGACTGCTCAGCCTCCCTGCCTAACAGCTGACGTGCGAGGTAGCGCACTTCTGCTTTTCCACATGTCCTCTAGGCTCCAACTGGCCCCAGAGCTTCAAAGCTAATAGAAGAGAGGGTGATGTGGAGAGAGAGCTGGAGAACAGGAAAAAAACCAGGCATGTAGAGGCTTCTTAACAGGTGCTCCCCAGTTACCTAATTTTTGCTTATGCACGCAGGGCCCCGTAACATAACCCCAGTGTAAGTCGGGGAATGCCTGTACGTTGAAGGTGCCTGCCTGACAGAGGTGTGGCCTTGGGCCCAACATTGATGGGGGTCAGTGTCACACTCCACCTATGACATCACGCACATGAAGCTGGGAGAAGGCTAAGCACCTAGCCCAGCCCACAGAGCCTGGCGGTGGACCAGGCAAGCCTCCTGCCAGCTGGGCTGCAGCATGACTGAGGCTGGCGTGGCCAGAGTGGGAGACGCTGCCACGTCGGCCACAGCAGCTACAGTCAGTGGCAGTGGTGGGAGAAATGTCAATGGCAACAGAGTGCTGCAGCAGGGCTCCATAGCGGCAAGAGGGCTTGCCACTTATGGACCCACCCAAGTTGTGATCGCTGTAGCTGCTTATGCTGAGAGCCTTGTGGCAGCAGGGGTTGGAGGAGGAGGTAGTGGTGGTGCTGGCCGGATGCTTGGGCTCCTCCACCCCTTCAATATTGGGTGAGGGGGCCTGAGCTCCTGCTAAACAATATAGAGGGGGCCAAAGACACTGTGGCCCATAGGAGTTGGTGGTTGTGCAGGGAGTTCCAAACTGTAGTTGCTCTCATACTAAAAATTGATTTCTTACAAGTGTAGAACAAGTATTGTGTGGTGTCTGTACAATGCCAGTTCTGCAGATTAAAGTGGTCAAGTGGGCACATATACTGTAAGATGATCCTACAAGTAAGCTAGTCCCATGCTGTTAAGGGCTTTATATACCAATAGTAACATCTTCGTAACAAATCGGCAACCAGTGCAGATCTCTGAGCAGAAGTGTTATGTGCTGACAGGACCTCACTCCTCTCAGCAACCAGGCTTTAAAATTCTGCACTACCTGCAGTTTCCAGATGAAGCCCAAGACAATCCCCACATGGTAAACACTGCAATAATCCAGTCTTTAAGTCGCCAACGCCTGAACTGAACTTCTGTGTTCAAGCTCCCCGTGTCCAGGAATGGTCCTAGCTGTTGTACCATGCACAGCTGATAAATGGTGCTTCTAGCGACTGAGGCTGCCTGGGTCTCCAGTGACATAGCTGGATCCAGAAGCAATCCCAGACTGTGTACCTGATCCTTGATTGTTTTTGCCCTCATCTTTTATAAAGCTGGTCAATATTCCTCCACTTTTATGTATGGGTGAAACTGGGCTTGAAAGATACTTGCCCTAGGCAACACTAGGATTCTGTGTAAGAAGTGTCACCTGAACCCATATTTCCCCAGACTGCCAAGTTTCTACTTTCGGCAGCCTGGCAGACTAAGCTCATTATAGCATCAAAAGGTGTTAGCTGTTTCTTTGAAGGGACAACCCCTCTTTATTGCTCAAAGTTCAAATTTGCATTAGCGATTAGATACTGTATTTTTTATTATTATTTCTTAAATCATTTTCTACTCCATCTCTCCTCAAGGTGCTTCTAGCCTGTGTCAATACCTGTATGTACCTTTTCTGTCGTGAGAAAAAGCGAGTGAAATCTTTTTATATAAGGTTAATTTTAACCAGCAGATACATTGTTGCTAGCCAGTTTGGCCCGGAGTCAGCCTGCAACATTTGGTGGAATCAACAGCAACCTTCAAAACATCAGCATTTGTTTTAAAAATTGAATACACGTTCCTGGCAGTGAATGAGACTTAAGGGGAACAGCTATAACAGCTTAGTGATGAGGCATGTGCTTTACATACAGATAGTGTCAGGTTCAGTCCTCTGCTTTTCCAGGTAGGCCTGGGAGAGAGTCTTGTCTGAAATTCTGCAGTCTCTGCCAGTCAGTCTAGGCAGGCAGTCCCAGCAAGCATGGCCAATACTGAGCTAGATGGACCATTGGTTTGGTCAGGCATAAGGCAGCTTCCTTTGCTCCACTTGATGTCAGGTTAACTCAGAAACTCTTTGTGATACCTAATGGTCAAGGAGGAAGGATGTATTCAGAAGACCTTCTTATCAGTTGCCTTCTTACTTGTTGGCCTGCCTCCAAACTCTACTAAAACTAATTCTGGAAACAACATTAACCAAACTAAGGAAATAGCAAACACCTCACTTTGCAGATAGAGGATTTTAAACTAATTTGAATATGTCTCATAGAATTCAGATATTTTAGTTGCAACTTGTTATGAGTTATTTCATTTAGGAACCCCAAACCTTTAAGTTCTCTCTCTTGTTCTCCAACTCCACTCTTTCTAGGTCCCAGCCATCATTACTGTGAAATCAAACCACTTGCTTTATTGCTCAGATTCATATTAAAAGTTTTTCCTCCTCCTTAATGTAAAATTAAGGTGCAGCAACAGAAATACATTTTGCAGTCATCGTGACAGAGGGAAATCAGAAGCTGGAGTGATGGTGGCTTGTTAATAAGATTATAATTGGAGGGTTAAAACCTTGTGATTGAGTTGAAGACTGTCTTGGTGCTCTTGTGGCGCCTCAGCAGCCAGGCCCCAGGTGCCTGGCTGAGCATCCCGTGCCGACATCTGGAACCAGTTGCAATACATCACTGTCAAAACTGCTTTCTATACGTATCTGCATTTACACATTAGTTACCCACGCAGCACTCATCAAAAAAGCTGAACAATCTTGACACAGTGTCCCTGGTGGAACTGCAAAGGTGAACCGAAGTTGGGAGGCAGCGTCTCGCGTCACTGTCTGCTGCGCTTGTACAACAGGAAGCCTGATTAAAACTGAAAGGAAAAATTTATCGTCAGCTTCTGCTTTGTATCATTTTACCTATAATGGGGGGTGGGGTGGAATGAAATTATAGTTAACTGTACCTGGTTTTTTGGAGCTATACAACTGTACCTATTTTTTAAAAAAGTGTTCCCTTTGTACTTTGTTTTGCTACATATCCTGTAAATTATTCCTCTTTGGCTGGTTAAATACCCAGTTCGTTGGCCGTGTTGCTGTATCTTACAACTCTGCTAGTAAATACTGTGATTTTGGAGTGTGAAAATTACTGGTTTTGAAAGTAAGACTGTTATAGCATGCTGAAAATTAAGTGTGTGTGAGAGAGAGAGAGAGAGAGAGAGAGAGAGAGAGAGAGATGAGAACAGCTCATTGGTGCTGTAAATGCACTGTAACCTGAATTCTCAGAGGTGGCAGTCTGACCACTGCCACTGCTTTTTTTAAAAATCCCATTGCTCAGCAAACTTACAAACCATAAACAAAGCACACCTAGGAGTGATCCCTCCAGTTGCACCCTAGGCTCAGGACATACAGGAGACTGCTTGAAGAGGACCTAGCACTATCCAAGGACTTAAGTGGGTAAGAATCACAGTCCCAACAAATTACCATGTTACAGTTCTAAAGTCCATACAACAAGGAGTGGGAGGTTCATCGAGTGTAAGGGCTCACATCATTTCTGGTAACAGATGCTGAGGATATTACCTCATTTTATTTTATTTTTAAAATAAAATGAACTGGGAAGAGCAGCCATTGCCACAGTGGCTTAAGAGATTGGAGAACTGGGCCCAAACTAACCAAATAAATTTCAGTAGGGAAAAATGTCAGATTCTACACTTAGGCAGGAAGAACCAGATGCACAAATATAAGATGGGGGATACCAGTAATATATGTGAAAAGGATCTAGGGGGTCTTAGTAGACCACAAGCTTAACATGAGTCAACAGTGTGATATAGCAGCAAAATAGCTAGTGCTATTCCAGACTGCATCAACAGAAGCACAGTCCCGGTCAAGGGAAGTAATAGTACCACTCTGTTCTGTCTGGAGTACTGTGTCCAGTTCTGGGCATCACAATTTAAGAAGAATGTTGACAAGCAGGAACGTGTGCAAAGGAGGGCAACCAAAATGATCAAGGGTCTGGAAACCAAACATTATGAGGAATGGTTGAGGGAGTTAGGTATGTATAGCCTGGATAAGAGGAGACTGAGAGGAGACATGATAGCCATCTTCAAATATCCAAAGAGTTGTCACATTGAAGAAGGAGCAAGCTTGTTTTCTTCCATAGGACCCCCACCAATGTCTTCGAGGTACATGAAAGCAGATTACAACTAAACATTGTAAAGAACTTTCTGACAGTAAGAGCTGTTTGACAGTGAAACAGACTCACTCGAAAGGTGGTGGATTCTTCTTCCTTGGAGGTTTTTAAGTAGAGGTTGGATTACCATCTGTCGTAGTTGAGATTGCAGGGCGTTGGACTAGATGTACCTTAGGGTTCCTTCCAATTCTATGATGCTATGATTATATGAAGGCATGAGAAATGAGAAAGTAGATAATAACTTTTGTTGAGGAAGCAGAGGACTTTTTCTCCTTTACTAGTCCGCAATACTACAATTGAGTCATCTAGTGAAAGTGATTGGCAATAGATCCTGGGCAGACAAAAGGAAACCTTTATTATTAGCATAGAATTCACTGGCACAAGATATGGTAATAATGACCACTGAGTTTATTTGCCTTTTATCAGGAAATTAGAGAAATCCATGGAGGCTTGGTTTGTTGGCAGATTTTAACCATATAGTTAAATGGAACCTGCATGTTCAAGAGCAGTGTGTTTC